ATAATACAAACTTGATACTAATGGAATAACAATATGACAGTTGGCAAGTAAGCACAATTTTAACTGGACAGTGGTAGAAAAATAACATATTCATCTATTATTCTTTTTTAACTATCATTAGTTGTAAATAAGCATTAGGTGTAATCAAAAAAAGGATTTATATAACAGTGTGTTGGTAAGAACACATTTCTTTCATTTTTTAAACAAGTACTCTCAAAATATTCATCGCCCACTGAGCCCGAGTCTGTCAGTGAAAGGAACATTCTGCCAACTACCCATTTCGACGGGAAAGATGGTATTACTTGTACGAATTTGTAATATAAGTTCGGATATTTTACGTGGTAACAATGTTTATTTTCAAAAGAAAAAACATGTTTAGTACATGTGTATACAATGGTTCATTCTATTATTATTAAATTTTCGTTGTGTTCATTGAAGTTCCTGTACACTGACTGTGTATGCGTGTCAAGTTATGGGCATAAATTAAACGATCACCTGATTCATGTCACGCCACAGTATGTATTCCTACACCTGGAATGTTTATCAATGTCATTTTTGTCTGTTTTGGTATGTACAACTGTTTTGGGTTCAACTAATGTAGATAAAACATGTTTTACGTTGTTGAATTTAATTATAAGCATTGACTGACGTGTATTTTTTGTCATTTCATTGAGGTATGAATCGAAAAACCGACGTGCAAACTTTTGTAAGAATCCGCTACATCTGACACAGAACTACATGAGCAAACTCATCATAGGCAGTATTCAAATCCTGTTGGGTTTTATTCGAAGTCTCTAGTTTCCTGATAATCTCCCGTGTCTGCAATACATTCCCCCGATGACATATACAGTTCATGTAAAGCCGTAGTGTCGAACTTGGTAGAGGTATTAGAGTTTCCAGAAGATACATTGTCATTTCCTTCTGCAGTACCTTGTGCTGGCCATGGTATGTATAGATCGACAGTCTATCTACGTGATGCGTGGTCTAGCTTAGGAATAACTGTAGGATCAATGCCACCTATCACAACCTGCAATTGTAGCCAAATCATTGGGTCCAGTTATCTGAAAATCACTAAAACAGTCCAAAGAATCATAGGCACTTAAACAATAACCCACAGCTGACATCCCTCTGTTTGATATAAAGGTGAAATCATTGCACATATATTTCTTCGTCCATAATTTGAATTAATAACACAAATCAGTAAATAATCAACAATGTGAATTTATAACATTGTCTAGTATAATGTTCCTTTGGGGCAGATTATCCACTCCTACATAATCCAACAGATTGCCACACAGGCTATTTAAAGGCGCGACAGATCATGTTCGGAAAGATCAAACAAACCGTGACATTAACGTAACGTGGCCGTGAGAAACACCTTGTTGTATTAACCAACTTAAGTACATCAGTGTCCCTTTACATTTCTACACAATATCATATGCCACAAGCTGAACTCTGGAATACGCTATAAATACACGTTACGCTCTGCATTCAACACGGGTAAAAGTCATTCATAGCTGATGTGAATTTGATGATGGTTCAAGTACATTAGGGAATATAGTTTTAAGCATATGCACATTAAAGTTTTCACTTCGACAGTTACGTATTGTGTAGGGGGGTATCTGGTGCAGTTGTAAGGCTTTCACGGAGATGTTACTGTCTAACCCCCTCAGCCACCGAGGCTTCCACAAAAAAGAAAATCCGGCAACTGGTAGTCTGGAGAAAGCAAATTAATCGCTGCATCAGTTCGAAGCGCATGCGCACTCTTCCAAAATGGCGGCGCAACTACCGCTTCGTTGCCTTGACGAGCTGATGAAATTTATGACTACTTTGAAGATGTGGAGCAGACTGGGGATGATGGGGTGTTAGCTGCCTTTGTTCATTTCCTCGTTGATCCAGTCAAGAATTTCTTGTTCCGGTGTCAAAGTCAGACGCCATTTTGGTTTGAGAACTAAGCGACCTCAGCCAGCGATTCTTTCGCTTGCAAGCGGCTGAAAGTTAGCGCACTGTTGTAAGGCGAATCGCTGTACATCGCTTGCAAGCGATTCGCGCTTTGCAATGCACCCCTAGATCACGTACTTTGTGTACCCCTATGACAAGTGTAAATTGGCACAGCTCCCATAGATGAAAGCTATGAATACACAATGCCATTATTTGGTTAAAAGTAACAAGTTTTATATTTGCACAATGCCATTTAGATACTGCTTAGATAAGCGGATACTGCTTTTGAAAATGAACTTACCCCCTAAGAAATCAGAGTTCGAGCATCAAGCTCTTGATGCACAATGTAACTTGGATGTAGACTAAACTTGAACTGATGATGGCGGGTGCAAAAAATGACGTAATAGTGTGACGTCATTCCGACGTCATTTCACCAGACAACAAGGCATTTTGTCACAACATTTAAAACTTGCTTTCGAAACGTTTGTGTGATATCAGGTTTTACAAACGTATTAAGGACATGTTAAAAACATTTATTTTTTGTTTTTAAAAAACGTTTTATGACATTTTAATAACTAATCATGAAAAATAAATAAATGTGAGATAATGCGTCTTTTACCATATATCTATATTTATTCACTTCTCAACGGTCTCTCTCACGCCCTCGCAAAATATACGCGACTAAATGTAATTGCCTGTGACACTATCTGTGATCAGCAACAAACAGATCATGTGAAGTTTTGTCTTACTCATATCTGCTATATTTTGCTTTAGACATTTAGTCTACAGATTAAACTGTAACTGTTGTGAAAATGTTCTATTACTGTATTACCAATCCACAGCATTATGAAAACGGAGTGTGCTGGCTGTGCTAGTGTCCAACTATAGGCTGTTGGGGTCGTAATTCGGTACTCACTTTAATACATGGCGATAACATTTCATGAAAATATGTTCTGGCATAACATTTCTGCAATGTGTTGAAAACATTGCAATAACATGTTATGAAAGTAACAGTATCGCCTATGTTACAGCATGATGTTCTTGAATAACATTTTATAAACATTTCAATAACATTTCTGCAACGTGTTGAAAACATTGTAATAACATGTCATGAAATAGTTTCGCCTATGTTATGGCATGGTGTTCTTGAAAAACATTTTAAAAACATTTCAATAACATTTTGAATAATCATAAATCATTTACACCTTATTCGGATGATTTTACATATGTGTACACAATGTATTTAAATCATGATGATAACATTTCATTAAATATGTTCTGACATAACATTTCTGCAACGTGTTGAAAGCATTGTAATAGCATGTTATGAAAACGTTAGGCAATGTTATAGCATGATGTTCTTGAATAACATTTTGAAAACATTTCAATAACATTTTGAATAGTTGTAAAACATTTCTATTACGTTAATAAAATGATTTGACGAAAATGTTTTTTGAAAAACTGCAATGAAACCTTTTGAAAATGTTTTGAAAATGTTATGTGTTAGCTGGGATGTTCATACGAATCAAAAGTGATTCCAGTATTTTTGTCTGTGTTTTCCTCCTATGCATTAATAAATTATGTTCTACACATATATGTTCACGTAGATATTTGCTACGATTACTGCCGTTTTGAACTATGATAATATGGCACTTCCATAAAAGTCAACCAAAGCTTATTCTATTGTTGTTAATTCCTACAATAAAATCACGAATTATTACGATTACAATAGGTATATGCTGGTGGTGACCTCGTAATCACCCAGTCAAATGCTAGAATAATCAAAAGTACAGTAACGGGTAGGCAAAATAGAATATGCAAGTTACAAAAACGTATTTCCAAAACATGCCACGACAACATTTTGTAATTTTTCAACATAAAACATTACTTCATAGGATGTTATAATAATCCTCTGAATATGTGAAAACATCATGTCAGATTTCCGAGGAGAAGAGATTGCTTTGATGGATGTCTATTACCTCCTGAAAGGCATCTTGGTCATGAAGAACATGTTTTGTAAGAGTGATCTTCCTTCGTTCAGTAGATATTGAGAAGAAGATATATTTAATTTCAGTTCTAACAGACGGACGGGCGGACGTCGACATCATGGTGAGCTATTAAAGGTTGGCCGCGTTCCCTCTGCATCCCCACACCCCGTGACCTATCCAAATGTCAACACCCCTGAGATTGCCAGTACAATGTCTCTGCACATCACCTCGTGCAAACATGTCGCTTAAAAACACGCCTTGTGCAAACGTCTAACCCAATAGTGACCAACAAAGGCCATAGTGTTGACATTTGTCAGGCAGATGGATATGACAGTACAAATTCCATCGGTTCGAACATGTTCAGCGGTTCGCATGAAGTTTCTTGAAAATGTTGATGGCTAAAGATCATGGCTATATATGTATGCCATTTATCAACACCCGTTCAATTATACTCTATACTGGCTTCTAACTGAAGACACGACGAGGTGAGGTCGACATAACTTTACTGACTGTAAGTTTGTTTTCGTGTTCCAGTACGGGGTCATATCAGGTGACGATATCAGAGCAGAGGAAGCAAGTAAAAGTGTAGACGATTAACTATGACCATAAGATAGTTACAGAACGTTTCATAACATTACTGATTTTTTTATTTATTTCAATATGAGTATACAACTATATGAACAAGTGATAAAACGTTTCGATATGGAATTAGATCAGAAACTGGTTCTATATTATTTTCCAGGTGTATATGACTAGTATTGTCGATCGTCAGTTGTTAGATCCTGTCCTAAATAAAATTCATACATTATTTCAGACAGTGTCTCCTTGCCAGTGTTACAGGTGACCAGGGCCCATTCTACGAAGGGATCGTAATGCTAAGGTGATCATAATTCCCATACCGTGGCGGCATATACTTACATCAGACGTTGCACTACGATCGCTTTTTGGAACATGGTCATGAACAGAAAATCCAGCACGAATTCACCCTCCACATAATTATATAATTGTAAATCAAGTGAAAAATAAGTCACTATGCAGGATGCAGGATGTAAGTCTACGTTTCAGGCCTACCTTATGTCTGCAACAATTTAGTCGGGTGCAGGAACACAGTATCCACATAACTCAACTTTACCCGGACAAGTGTTTCACAAGACATGGTGCGTATCCGGGTCAGGCTGAAATAAAGTTATGGGAGCCTGTATTGAACAAAATACAACGTAAGGTCGCCTTTTCTGTGAACTGCAAGTTATTATACAGTGTCTGAGTGGGGTATTCATGTTGAACTCCGTCATTATATCTCAGTGAGCTAGCACTAGAAATCTACCATCATTTGTATTGACAGATAGAAGAATTTCTTGATTTGCTTCAGAGGATTGGCTACGCCTAAATGTTTATGCTTTTCAATTTCTTTTACAATGATTCCATCCTTTAGGAGATATGGTTTATTTAACGGTACCGTTTTGCGGGAGAATACAATACTTTTGGTTGTTTTCAGGTTGGTTGGTTGGTTGGTTTATTGTTTTAGGCCGCGCTCACCAATTGCCTAGCTATATGACAGCAATCTGTAAATAATCGAGGCTGGTCAATACAGTGATTGATATCATGAGCATCGATCCACGCAATTGGGATACGATGACATGCATCAACAAAGTCAGCGAGCCTGACCACCCGATACCGTTAGTCGCCTCTTAGGACAAGCGAAGTCGCCTTTTACGGCAAGCATGGGTGCTGAAGACCTACTCTACCCCGTACCCTCGCTGTTGTCAGGGATACACTTCATTCGCCACGTTTTAGCCCAGTCGGAGATTTCGATCAGATCATTGTTTAACGCTAAGGCTACTGTGGCTGGGTTTTTCAACAACGATATACAGGGATGTATCTTCAGCAAAGAGTCGGATATTACGTTTTATTTTATCGACTAAATCATTATGTAAATCACGAACAACAGCGGACCAAGAACAGATCCTTGTAGTACTCCAGCCAGAAAAAAGTTTAATTTGGATTTATATCCGTTGATAATAATTTCGTGCCTGGAGTTTTGTTTATTTTTTCGTCAAGTTTTGTAATATAATTGTCTTTGTACAAGCAAACAGAGACAACTGGCGGAAGTATGCCCAAAGTAAGGGTGTATTTTTTTTATAAGCGATTTTATGTTGTCGGTTTCTTACCCGAATACGTTTACATATACCTGTATGGGACCATGGAGGATAGTTTTGTCTTATAAGTACCTCACGATTTGGAATATATTTCTTTATTTCTAAATAAATTTGAAAATGTCTTGAACATTTTCTATTGGTATATCAATATCATTAGTCTGTCTATGTTCCCAATTAAAGCCATTCAGTGAGGTTACAAGTTCCATCAGTGAATTTTTATATATCCTCCTAAAGTAAGTCTCATCAGTGGTTTTGCTTGCCTCTATACTGACATACACTGGACAGTGGTCGCTGCAGATAGGGTCTGACACACCTGACATATACTCTGTCAGTATATGACACAAATATTCCATCTATAAGGGTGCTGGATTGCTCTGTTATTCTCGTTGGCTGTTTAATAAACTGACAAAGTCCATATGCTGATTTAAAATATATTCAATTTTGGGGTTTGTGTCACTTGGAAGATTAATATTTAAATCCCCTGCAATAACGGTATCAATACTGAGGTATATGGCATTGCAAATAGAATCATCAATTAATTCCCAGTATGAATTTAGTGTAACAGCCCTGTAGATAGTTCCAATCAGCATATTTTCATTTTTACATGTTGTTTGTTTGTTTGTTGTTTAACGCCACACTCAGCAATATTCCAGCTATATGACGGCGGTCTGTAAATAATCGAGTCTGGACCAGACAATCCAGTGATTAATATCATGAGCATCGATCCGCGCAATTGGGATGAATGACATGCATCAACCAAGTCAGCGAGCCTGACCACCCGATCCCGTTAGTCGCCTCTTACGACAAGCAGAGTCGCTTTTTACAGCAAGCATGGGTTGCCGAAGACCTGTTCTACCCCGGATCTTCACGGGTCATTTTACATGTTGTCTTTAATAACACTGCATCAAGACCTGATAGTTCTCAGTCATACGTACATTCGCCGTGCATGTAGTATGTTCTTTACGTAGATTGCTACACCACCTTCACTTGTGGCTCCATCTTTCCTGCAAGGAGTATGAAAACCCCACAGTACTGTAAGTTCGTAATCTAATATATTAGAATGGAACCAGGTTCCTGTGATACAAATTATATCATAATGCGAAGGTGAAATTCACTCTCGATTATATCAGTTTTTTCTTTCAGACTACAAACAGATTGAAATCAACTATTTTTAGCAATTTATCCCAAGGCCCTGGGTTAGGATATACATCCCCACAGCATAGAAATATTTATGTTAACATTTGTGAAATTTGCATGTTCTATAGGCACATTAATATACAATTGTGAGAAATTTGACCAAGCTTGTGTTTACTCTTACGACGAATATTTCCCAGGTACAGACCCACAGCTTGCCTGTATTGTACTTTAACCGGCACGTCAAACATTATCCAACATCTATTTACAACAGGCTCCCCGTGGGCTGGCTTTCATTGGTAAACTATTGGAGCAAATACTTAAAGATCACTTTTTTTCAGAAATGGAGAAGTGACGTTAATTCTAGTTCTAAAGGCTTATACTATAAACATTTAAAGGACACTCCGGTTCTCGATAAATATCTTCTATTGCCAAAACGAATAGCAATTCCCACACTACGATTTCGAACCTGTAATCATAATTTACCTAAAGAGACTGGTCGATGGAAAAATATTCCAAAGGAAAATAGAACTTGTAAGTTATGTAATTCCCCATCTATTGCTGATGAATTTCACTACTTATTCAGATGTAATTATTTTAAAAGAGAGAGGCGAACATTTCTCTCACCATATTATACTGAGTGGCCAAATATTATAAAATTTGTAAAACTCTTATCAACAACAAACACACAGGATCTAAAAAAATTATCGAGATTTATTGTAAAAATGTCCATTAGTATTAAAAATGCTAGGTAATCACATGTTGTTATTAATTGCCATCTTGTCTGCTTTTTGTACAGATGCATAATTATTTATTGTAATATGCTCTTGTACCACCTTTTGTGGTTTCTGAGAATAAACTGATTCTATTGATCATACACTTCCGGAACTGTAAGGGATTGATAAACAGACCACCATATAAGCAAACTGATAACAAAGATCTGCAGGGTAGTAAAGAGAGAACAACAACACTATTGGCAACTATTATATCACTGGGAAGATATAAACCATCGAAATGAAAGAAATCGATAACGTCTTATCATAGGAACAATACGCAACGGATGAAGGGCAAGTAACGCAAACTTTAATAACTCATTAAAAAAGTCATGAAAAATAATATATGAAGGAGTGAATGAATGAGTGGATGAATAAGTGAATGAGCAACCATTTAGTAATACCCCATGGAGATCGCTTTACTGAATGGTGTAACGCGAAAACCACGTGCACTGCTCGTGTCACTGTACTTAGAAGAAATATCTGATTGTGGGGTAGATTTACAAATACTGACGTTATGGATACCAGCTGCTATCCAGATGATTTGCGGTGATTTTATTAATAAGGAATATTTCTTTGATGTCATAGTGGGCAATATATTTATTCATATTCAACCAATGTGTTTGTAGGGACCCTTTAGGCGATATATATGACATAAATAATATAGTTTTAGACTATATCATTCTTGGGTGAGAATGTGTCCAAAGACAATAAGCTTATCAAAGGTAATTTAACTGGATTGTTCCAGAGAAAGAGTCGGAATTTACTTCATGTTATTTTTCACAACAATGTATCCCATAATTGGGTCACTTATATTAAGGTTTATGTGCAAGTTCCAAATAAACTCTTGCAAATTGATCATATTAAAGTCACCACTTGTTGGTCGGTGGGCTCTCAGTAAACAAATATCTTAGTACTTTGAATAAAATGTGTACATGAATTATGTTGATGTCAACATCTGCTGGTAAATAAATTCCAAATAAACTAAGCATGTCACTTTTTCAAATGAGATTTGTGAATGGATCATAGAAAAGTCACCACGTGTTGGTCTGTGAATTCCAGATACACAAACATGTCACTGCTTGGAATGAAATATGTACATGAGTAAAAGACACCACTTGCTGGTCAAAACCTTATATCTCAGCAACTCAGTAGTATGGCATTTTCTCTGGCTAGTTTGTGAAATTTGAAACAAAATGCTGTGACCGTTATATCATCTCAGTCATACACTGGATATCGATCCATTGGGGCTTTTGTTACAAAACGTGGTGTACATAGGTACAGTTACGTATCCATATTCAGAGTCCAGGACAAATTGTGAAAAATGAAAGTAAATGCCATCTGATGTTGAAGAAAATAATATGTAAAATGCTGGACTTCCTCATTGATAACATCTACATAAAATTGGGGGGTAAGACATTTAGGCATCCCCATGGGCACCAATTGTGCTCCCCTTATTGTGGATCTGTTTCTTAATGCATGTGAATCGGAATTTCTGTTCGGATTGGCAAAGTCTAAACAAGGTAATTTGGGCAAGAAGTTTAACGTAACCTGTAGAGATATCGGTGATCTGATATCGTTCAATAACAATCAATTAGCCACTTCCCTTCCACTGATTTACCCACCATGTTTTTATTTTCAGGTGAACAACTGACTTGCCTTTGCATGTGTTTGTGACGGGTGCCACCGGTGCTACAGCAAACGCTCACCTATTTGCGAACACCTCGTATCATTACTATTTGATAGTGATTATAAACACATGCCCATGATATACTCGGAAAGGTACAATCGACTCTGCTTTATGCAGAGATTTATATTGGATATGGAAAGGGTTTTGTCGCTTCATTAACTTCACCTGATCTGAGACCTGTGGCTTAACACCGCTTTGAACAATATTTCAGTTATTTCACACAGTGGCAGCTTGATGTGGGAGGAAATCCCGAAGCGATGTGTGTATATGGTGCTCGGATTCGATCCGCGATCACAGGTTTCTGGTACGTCTAGGAGACGCATCTCTGCAGAGCGAATTGCTCCGTCTAAAACGACAAAGCATACCGTAAGCCCTCATCGATTTGGAACTAAATTAGATAAAATTGCAAAGTGTTTGTTTTGTAGCTGTGAAAACCCGTTTGGTTT